AATTGACATGTTTCCATTGAGCAAATTTGTTTTCTAAATTCTAATTTGCGCATTTACATGGTCAATGGAAACGCAGCTAGTGTTGATGTGACCTGCATGCAGATGATGATGTGATGTCACATTCAGCTCTCTGTTTTTAGGAGGAAACATCGCAACCTGCAGATGCTACATGTTAGCATGTCAATTCTGAAGCTAAATTATCTGACATGCTTGTTTAGTTCACTGTTTACATTTTAACCGTCCTCTGTTGGCTGCTCCGGTGCACAGTGTATTTATGGAACAAAGCAACATGCTGGAAGTAAAACTAACTACATAATCAATCCAAAACTTTAGTATCAACATGGTCTGATGCCTAAGTTACTATCAAACAGTATATTTCTGATTAGTCATCCAGGACATGGAAAATTTAAATAACAAAGATGAAGCAGCGCGTCTTATGTACTGTAGCTGAAGATATGTGGAGCTACAAGATTTAAATAGCAGGACTCGAGGTTACTGTCATTTTTGTTACTTGGATTGACATCTGTACCCCCACCTCACTGATATAAACGTCATAAAATGTGACATGAGCGTTCAGAGTGAGTCACTTTATAAAACATCAAATATGAATCTGGTTCAGTACAGATTCTGAATTTTAAAAAATGTTTTATCATCAATGTGTTTGTTTAAGCTCTAACTCAGTAAGCACTCTACTGGTACTCTGTATAGGCGAGTATCCAACCTGAAGTACTTGGTTTGAGAAAAACTGGAATTGGGACAGCGTTACAGAGAACCTTCAGCAGTAAAGCCACTGAAATCATTAATTGACCCTGCAGAGTAAAACACAACAGACATTAAAACAAAACACTTTAGTTATTTGAGCTTCTTGGTCACATTTTCTTATATAAATAAGAATAAATTACAGGGAGGGGTTCGTATAATTACTGCAAAGTGAACAACATCAAAAAACGGTATCCAGTGTAAAACCTTTGTACGACATGTTTATTTGTTAATATACTTAATGAATCTTGGTTATATTTTAGCTGATGCTAACTTGAAGCTTTGCCAGCGAGTTCACCACAATACTTTCAATACTTATTCTTACATGTGTGGAAGCACAGATTGATTATAAAATAAGTCTACTGTATATAAACCTCTCTCTCTCTCTCTGGCTTTGCAGAGCTATTTTTGTGCCAGAGGGAAAGTACCACTGGCCATCAGCCCAGGACCTCATTGGGTTCGGGCTCATGAATGAATTTTTTATCTCAGTTGGCCAAAATCAGTTTTATTTTTATTTAAAAAGAAAACTGGTAAGAAGAGCTACATCATTTTGTTAATGAATCTTACACCATCAGCTCGAGTACAAAAAAACACATCTTTAATTAGCAACACCCAAGTAAAAATGTGGTCTCCAGTTCCTTCCAGAGAAGCCCCTGGCACACAGGAACAGGGGGCAGGTCGTGGCCGGCCACTGTATTCATGTGATGTCTCAGTCTTTTGGCTAATCTCATACGATGGTGTTTCTTTGTTTCTCCGAGATAAAAGCTGGTACGATACCTCAGCTAGCTTTAGCCAATTTCTAATTAATCTGTTGTACAGGAGCCATTTAATAACAAACTGACACCACAAACAATCAGTTTGCTGAGCCAGAGGACGTCTGGTCCAAGTTATTGGTGTGGGAGCAGAAAAGCAGCTTGAGATGTAAAAAAATCAAAGTGAGCAAGTGTGACGTGCTTTTGATGGGGGAACAAAAGTCCAGTCAGGTGGATTTGTGGGTAAATTAGAAAATAACAGATTATTCCAGCATCATTGACAGTACAGCTGAAAGAAAAGGATGCCTTTCTTTCAGGGGGTGATGGGGGTCAAAGAGGGGGTTTAATCCACTTTGTTCAAGATGACATCAAACGTCCGTTTGTCACCATCTTTCTTCACATTTAACCAGCACAGCAGCTTTTTGCTCTAGATTTGAATCACGGGCATCTACTTCACGATCTGTTCTGCTCTTTAAATCTGTCTTTTTTTCTCTTTCTCCTCGTTTTTTTCCTTTCTTCCCATCTTCCTCTTTCTCAGCTGGGCTTATCTGCAACAGAATGAATAGACTCATTGTTCTTTGTGAGCTCTGTGGAGGCAGCTGGGAGAAACGGCCACTTTCAGTGAAACATGAATAAGATGTCTGTCTGTGGAGAACATCGAGGCTCCTAATCTCAGAAAATACACCAAGTGATGGCGGCAGTCAGAAAGTACCTCCATCTATGACTCTTCAGACACTTATAAAGGAAGTTGAAAGGTTCAAGACTCAAGAATGGACACTGTGCATTGTCGGCTGAAAAGTGTGGTGCATACGGAGTACCAATACTGACATAATTAAAATTAAAAGTAAAAATATATAAATGACCCAAAAAATAAATAAACACACTTAAACTGCACCAATTAGTTTAAAAAAGTATTTTCATTTTATCTCATGTTTTAACTTTACATTTATTTTTCCAGTTTAGTTCCAACAAAATATATTTTAACACATTTATTTTTCCTTTTACTTGCATTTGTGTCTCTAAATTTTTTTTCACACAAGTCTTTATTTCCATGTGTTGCTTTTACATTTTTTTGTCTCCTGCTTTTACCTTATTCATTTCTGCCTCATTATGCAAATAAGGTGGGCTCTTGTAGCTATTTTGGATGAGAAAATTATTTTTTATATAAAAAAGGTAAAAAAACAAA